AGGTGGCCAGTGGTCCCACCACACAGCCAGGAGGTGGCTAAGCAAATCAGGAGGGGCCAGATCTCCAAGGGCCAGGGTCTTGGGGATGTTACAGGTATAATGAAGCCCCGGGATCATTTAACAAGGGAGGGGTTATACTAAGAGTAGCTGACCTGTACTAAGCACCGTTTGTGTGCCAGGCACCATTCAAATCTCATTTTATCTTCCCAGCAACCCCGTGAAGTAGGAACAAATAAGTAGGAACACCCCACACCCCCCGCCGTTCCACAGGTCATATCTGAGTCAAAACAGGCAGTAGGGGGCTTCCCTGGTGGCGCAGTGGTTGAGAGTCCGCCTGCCGATGCAGGGGACGCGGGTTCGTGCCCCGGTCCAGGAAGATCCCACATGCCGCGGAGCGGCTGGGCCCGTGAGCCGTGGCCGCTGAGCCTGCGCGTCCGGAGCCTGTGCTCCGCGACGGGAGAGGCCACAGCGGTGAGAGGCCCGCGTACCCCAAAAAAAAAAAAAAAACAGGCAGTAAGTGATGGAGCCAGACCGCAAAGCCAGGTGGTCTGGCTACAGGCAGTGGTTGTGGAAGTGACCAAGGGGCAGATGGGCGGGGCCTCGAAGGCCTAATTCAGTAGGGAGTTTGAGTTTTATTCCAAGTGTGATGGAAAGCCATTGGAGGGGGGCTGAGACTTTCTGACTCGTTCCCTTAGATCTAAGAGAGGGGACAACTTCTGGGGAAAGCCCACCGTACCCTGGCTGAGCTGGCTGCTAGACCAAACTACAGCGACTTCGGCCACAGAGATGTCTAACCCTGCCCTGCCTGGGTTGGAAGAGCTCTCCAGCCCCTGCAGAATTGGATGCCACCTTCGCTCTAGGTAAGTATCTCAAAGTGGAGCCCCGGACCAGCAGCATTAAATCACCAGGATCTTGTTAGAAATGCAAATTACGGGGTCCCACCTCAGCCCTACTGAATCTGAAAAACTCGGGCCATCTGTTTTTAACAAGCCCTACAGGTGTGTCGAGTGTGACACATTATCCACATGGAGCCATCCCCACCCCCATACCCTCCCAAATCACGCTCTACTGGTCCTCGGGCAGCCTCTGCACTGCGCACCAAGCCATCCTCCCCTCTGGACCCTACTGGCGGGGTTCTATGGCTCCTGATGCCTGGAAATCTCACTATTGCCCCAACCTACTTTTCTAACTCATTTGATTTCCTAGAAACATTGACTACTCAGCTATTTAGGCCTCTTCTACCCTGGAAGTAAAACTTCTCTTCCTTTCTACTTCTAGAGTTTAATTCTGCTTTCAGCCTTGTAGCCTCCAAAGTAGACAGCAAGGATAATTTCTGCCTTAACCTAGACTCTCCCTAACACCCCTCAGTCGCCAGATTTCTCTTCATTCATTCATTCCCACTCTCAGTTATAAATTCCTACAAGTGCCCATGCCCTCAGCTAGGAACTAACTGCAGTAGGTGCCGGGTACTTCAGGGATTCCTCAACAGCTCTCAGCCCTGCCCTCGTTTCTGACTCCTTAGTGGGGGGCTGGGGGCGACACGCAAATAAATACAGAATTAATTACAAATTATCTACGTGTACTAGGAAGGCCTCTGAGGAGGCCGCTGGGCTGAGACCTGAATGATGAAGAAGCAGGCCTGACGGTAGTTTAAAACAGCAAATATTTGCGTGTTGAATCCATGCCATACTCTGGTCTAAGTGTTTTATGTTTACTATCCATATAATCTTCCAACAGCCCTAAGGAGCGGGTAGTATTCTCATCCCGAAGCTACAAGAGGGGATATTGAGGCACAGGGAGAATAAGGAGTATATGTAAACAGCAGAGCCAGGATTCAAAACCAAGCACACTGGCTCCAGAGCCTACCTACTCTCCTAACCACAGGATTCGGTGATGAGAGCAGGGTAGAATGGTGCGGGTGCGGGTGCGGGTGGAAAGGCAGACAGGGGTCCAGGCAGGCAGAGTAGCACATGTAAGAGCCCCGGGGCAGAGCAAAGTCAGACTGAAGCAGAAAGGAAGTGGAAACTGGTAAGCGGTGAGGTGAAACTGGGGAGCGGCAGAGGGACTGGAAATATATTTGGGAAATGGACGGGACAAGACGTGCTGACAGGTGTATTATGGGGTGTAAGGGAGAAGGAGGAAACAAGGAGAACTCACAGTTTTCTGGTGCCCTATTTTCGAGGCTTGAGGACAGAGGGTAAAGTATTATAACACAAGATATACTAAAGTCCCGCGGAGCGCTGAGGCACAGCAAGCTCTCAAATGAACAGACTCCATCGATCAAGCAGGTTAAAGCTTCCAGTCCCCCCCACCCCACCCCCACCTCTCTACAGGAGGTCTTCATTCAAGGGTCCCATCCTGTCCCCCGGGAGCTAGTTTCCAGAACACTATTAGCCCGGGTAACAGCAGTAAAAGCTGCAGCTCCAGTAATAAGAATAGCTTTACCAGGAGGAGGGTTTTTCTCACAAAAATGTAATGCGTTTAGGACCAGGGTTCTCAAGTTTTTCTCAACAGCACAATGATGCTAATTTACAAATGAGAAGTGATGCGGCTTGCCCGAGGCCACACAAATGCAAAGAGGCTGAAACAGAATCCAATTCCAGGTCTGCCTAACTTGGAAGCCCACACTTCCTCCATTAAATCAGCATTTCCCACAGCGTGGGACAGGTCTCTCTGATGGAATACACCAGTGGTTTTAGATGAACTTTTTAAAGTTTTAATCCTTATGGTCGTGTTTCAATATGAATAATCATATATGTGTGTATATAACATCAAATAAATAAAAATTTTAAATGAGATATATACATGATTTGATATGAATTTATATATATATCACATCAAATCCATGACTTCTTGTGTATTACTGCCTAAGAAACAGAAAAGGTTGCCTAAAAGTTAAACATTAGAATAAAAGTACAGGTGATAGAGGGATAGAAGAGAAATGTTGAGGTGACGCAGAAATAACTGAAGCTTGTGAAACGCTGCTCACCACAGCACCGCCCAAGAACAGCCAAGCACCTGTTCCATGTTGTATTCAAATCTGGCTACAGCCACACATAACTCTGACTCTGCTCCAGAGGGATAAAATGTTGGTTGCCTCTGGGGAAAGGGAATAATATCAGAACAACGCAATTTAGCATAAATCATCCTTAGCACAGTACTGGTCTTGACAGAAGATACTGTTTTGGTCATCCAACTCCTCTCTGCTGATTCACCACACACCTTAAGTCAGGTAAGCTTTCCTGGGCCTCAGTTTCACTTTGTCCAAAGGAAGTTACAAAAAGCAGGCTCTAAGGTCACTTCCAGTTTTAGAGTTCCATAAAATGTCATAAATACCCTAAAATCCAAAAGTATTTTTTTCCAGAATCATAGAGGCCCCAACCCTGAGTGAGTGTCGACCTGAGGTATAAATGTTAAATAACCCCACAAGGCATCCCAGGCCCCCATCCCTTAACTGGGGAGATGCTATCAATTATGCTGCCCTCTGGAAAGATGTGACAAAAGACATTAATTACAAGATGATATGTCCCTGTCCCCTCCAAAACTTTAAGAATTTTCTGCCACAAATGTTTAAGTTATTAACTTTCACTATACTTGGTTGTTAGTGTTTGTTATTTCGTCTGTAACAATTAACTGTATTCTGGGTGGCAGTAGCAGGGAGAGAAATGGGTAGGGAAGAAATCTGCAAAATCTCATCAAACTCCTATCCTCATATTAAGCCTCCGCTGAGAAACACCTGTAAAACCTTCCAAGCTTCGATGTGAATTACTCCCCGGATGTTCGAACACGTTTAATATGCTAAACCTCTAAAAGGAGTCCTCACTCCTTATCTTTCAGAAACATTATTAACAAAACAGTTTAACCAGAACAAGCATTCTTCCTTTATTATTGAAATAGATACATTCATCAAAAGGGAAGTCTTAAGGACCCTCCTGGCCTTCTTTACAAAGCCCCTTCTGGGATGTCAGTAGGCCTGTAAACTTTTAATAGAAGGTTTTTAGGTTCCCAGAAAGAGAAGTTTTGAAATGTGCTCACTTCATGTTTAGCTGAAGACAACAGAGGATGGGTGGGCTGCAGCTGGCAAACTCAGAAAGCACAGCTGGGTAGCAGGTGATCTTAAAAAAAAAAAAAGCAAATCCCAGGGCAAATTGCGTAGCCAGGGGTGATCATTATAACTGGAGAGTTGTTACATAATTACTTGTTAACTACTAACAAACATATACAAGGTTTCAAAATGCCATGGTTACTCTAGCCATCGAAGCTAGTGTATCTAGTGGAAGAGTCCAGGTTCCTCCAATTAATTTCATTCAAAGAAACAAGCAATCCCAGGACCTATTCCCTTCCAAGGTAACCTGACTGCCTTTACATATACAAAACAGCCTCCAGCAATTAAGCCAATCGCCTCTAGGGATGAAAATCAGTGTTTCCCTTTCATATTGATTTTTAAAGGGGAGAGGGGAGACAGAAGTACGTTACAAGAGCTAAATATTCATCACCTCGACAAAAACGACTTCCACTCCAAACTGGAAAATTTGAACAGAAAAGGTCTTCCGCCACCCCACCCACAGCCGCCCCTGCTCGGCTGGCGCAAAACCCAAGACCTGTGTCGGATGCACTGCATTCCAACATTTTTCAAAAAGTTTACGAGGCTTTACCGAAGCGGCGGGGAGAAAAATAAAGCAGGCAAAAGCCGGGGAGAGGGAGCTGGAGGGTTTCCGTAGGGAAGAACCGGGTGAAGCGCCCGGCTGCGCCGTGCAAGGCCCGGTAACGGGGAAGCGACCCGGCACCCGGAGAGCGAGCGCCCCCGTGGCGCGCAGGGACTGACAGCCGCTCGGTCTCCACCGCCGGGGGTCCCCCAGCCCCCCAGCCCGGCCCCCGCCGCCAGTCCCCCTGCCCACCCTTCCCCCGCAGCGCCGGCGATGCCCGCTGGGCCAACTTGGCCCCGGGTCAGCGCTGCGGAGCGCGGCCCCGGTTGCCGGGGAGGCCGCCGGCGCCCTTACCTCCTTCTGCTTGGGGTCCTGCGGGTAGACGTCCGGCGGCCCGAGCCGGGGGCGTTTCAGCGGTCTCTGCTCATAGCTGAGAAGCCCGAAGGCGGCCATGATCTCTCATGTTAACCGGCGAAATGAATGAGAGTTGGAGCTGGAGCAGCCGCCTCTGAGCACCAGGGAGCAGCACTTTGCAGACAGACTCCCTCTCCCCCTCCTCGCTCGTGTGGCGCTGCAGGCAGGAATAAAGCAGGTTGGATGCTGCCGCTGCCCGGCACGCAGACACGCGCTGATGGGGGCAGCCTTCGGCGGGCACCCTGCTGCGCTGGAGCCCCGGGACGCACCGCCAACGGAGGGGCTGGAGGTCCACCTGGATCCTCCGAGGCGCCTGCCTCCTGTTCCCCACCACCCTGTCCCCAGGGGGAGGAGCAGCTGATGGGAACGTGTGACTTTTTTCACCAATGGACCTAAACCCACCCCAGCCGAGCGCAGGGTGGGGTGGGGGAGGGGCACGGGGCGGGGGGAAAAAAACTTTTCTTGGCGCCCCAGGCAGGTGGCTCGAGTGCTTGCCCTAGGCGCGGGTGGCCCGCCTACCCGAGGAAGAGACGGCGGAGGGGCCCGCCCCCGCCCCCTCTTCTACAGCAGGGACCCTTCCCCCGCCGCCACGCGCCCCGCAGACCCCGCCACCTGGGCGCGGACCCGGTTGGGAAGGAGGGGGACAGGCCTGGAGGGGGTGGGGGAGACAGGGATGCGGGCGGTGGGGAAGCGGCCAGTGCCTCCTAGACGCCCGCCGGGCTCCGGTGGCGCATCCGCGGCTCCGGTCCCCTCGGCGGCTCCGGGCAGGCGCCGAGGCGCGCTGCTAGCGGTCGCAGCGGGTGGAGGGGGCCGTGCTCACGGTGGCTCGGGGCCGACTTAACCCTTTGCTGCCCCTCCAGGGGCTGGGGAAGTGGGGGTGGTGAGGAGGGTTGGCAGCGAGTGCCGACGGGGGTAGCTAGCCCGCGGGCATCTCGGGCTCCTCCAACCCCCCGCCCACCCCCGGCCGCGCTCCTTCCCCCTCCCCCCGCCCCCAACAGTTTACCTGTTGGTCCCCGGCTAGTGGTCAGGGGCCGCCAGCCGCGGCGGCACTTTGGCGGCCGCAGCCTCCACGATTCGGGTTGGGATGGGGCGGAGGGGGGGGGGGCGGGGGGAGGCAACTGGATTTGATCTGATTTGTAAGGTATCAGTCTCGGCCGGGCGAGCTCCGGGGAGGCCGCGAAGTTTGCCACTGTCTGGGGGCGGCGAGCGACGCCGGCTCGCCGCCGCCGGCGTTCTCGCCCCCAAGGCCGGGGAGCGCGAGCTTCCGAGTTGGCGGACGGCGGCCGCACTGAGCATGCCCAGCTTGGCGGCCGGACCGCGGAGGAGTTTGCTGCGAGCGCGCTCCGATCCGCCTCTCCGGGTTTTCGCAGCTGCAGAGCGCGCAGCCCGCGGGCCCGGGCGCCGAGGCTGGCCCTGGAGTGTATCTGGGCGAGGGAGGGGGCGCCCCCTGGACCCCCTCTCCCGGCCGCGGGCTTCGCTGTCCGCCTCGACCTCTGTTAAGGTCGCTGTCCCCGTGGCCTGAGCCGGAAACCTCACCTGCGCCGGGCGTGGGGGGGGCGGGGCGGGGGAGAATCCTCCAGGGGAGACCTCGGTGCTCCAATCCTCCCGCGCTCCCCGCTCGCTTTGGGGCGTGGGCACCCTGATGCTGGGACACCTGCCGCGAGCCCGGCGAGACCGGAGCCGCGGAGGCGGGCCCGGTCTGTCCCGAGGGACCCCGCGGGAGGATGCGCCCGCGCTTGGCCAAGAATGATGGCTGCCATCTATGGAGCCCTCGCTTCATGCCAGGATCTTGACAGTAAAGGTCTCTGGTCCTTTAAAATAACAACACAAAACTTACAAGGTTTTACTCTACCCTTTTTATAGATAGAGAAATCGAGTCACCTTAGGAAGGCCCGGTGACTTGCTCAAAGTCGCGAAGCAAACTCTGCCTGATCCCATGTTTCTGATTTATTCTCCACGACTTGGAATTGGAAGAAGTGGGTTCCTGAACTGCCCTTGCCTGATAGGGTCAGGTTCCCCATACCTTGAGGAACTCTCTGAGTCCTATTCCATCCTCCATAAGATGGTGCTAACAGAATCTAACGCAAAGCCTTTGTATAGCGCCAGGCACATAGTAGGTGCTCAGGAGATGCTGGCTAAATCTGATTATCTATCTACTTACCTCTGCTGACTTTAAGCAAGGGGGGCAGGGGGGTAGATAAGCCATCGCAATGTGATAGGCTAGTTCTTAACTCTTGACTCTGACCTATTAGCACTTCCCAAAGCAGCTGAGGCCAAGTCAGGCCCGTAGTTTTTGGATTCTTTACTCAATCTTAGCAAGTACTTTTAGAGAACAGTTACTTCCACCAAGAGGCATTTCCTGACCACTCTGCACCCTCCCCCACGGACTTCTCTTCCACTAATACCTTGGGTGTAACTTCAAGGCTGAACTTGCCCTTGGGATATAGGTATCTGTCAAATCTAGCTTCCTTGCTTGAGAAACAGGACAGTTGTCTAACTTCGTTAGGAAAATTGTCAAACATACCAAAATGCAGAAGAAATGGCATAATGAACCCGCAAGTACTCATCTCCCATAGAAAAGTTTTGTCATTCTTGTTTAATCTCCCCCGCCCCTAACACAATGACATACACTGGAGAGGACAGTGTTGTTCACTGTTGCAACTTAGTTAGGTACACAGCATGGAACCTGGCACATGGGGGGCGCTCAAAAAATGTTTGTTGGCTGGTGGGACCGGTGACTGGGTGTGTGAGTGGGTGAGTAGGTGTGTGGCTGGGTAGATCACTGGTGGTACTATACTTTGGGGATCCTTGTGCTGACACGCTAGTCTGGTTGGGAGATGTAACCTAAATTCTTCCCTTGGAGTATCTAGGTGACAGCCTCCAACTGGCTTCCACAAAGGAAAAACTTTTGAAGCACTCAAAATTGTATCTAACCATAAAGATTTTAAAATCAAAATGAATTCATAATGTGTCCCTAGTGCTTGGGTAAAAGGGAAAGGAAGAGTTCTCTCCCTGTTGGTCTCCCTTCTTAGTTCCTTCCCTTGTTTTGAGACGGTCTGGCATGGATGCTTTGGCCCTCTCAACATTTAAAAAAAAAAAAGAGTGACAGCTTCAGTTTGCTGAGACACTTCCTCAAAAATCATCTTTTCGCTACATGGACTTCCCAACGGTGTTTGGTCCCCTCAGCCTGACATTTGCACTCTTCACAATCTACTGCCATCTACCAATCCAGCTTTTTCTCCTTAATCCCTCGCCCCAGTTAGCTCTCACTCCTACTTCCAATATGAAATTCCCAGACCCTTCACTTTCTGATAGCCACCTAAGGACAGTCCTTAGAGTCTGGACTCCTGTATGAAGCCCACCCCAAACTCTTGATGCACAAAATCATCCTTTGGTTCTTTTAGTACCCTAAGCACTTATTTTATTTCTTTTTCACCAGGTTTATTGAAAAATAATTGACATCCACCACTGTGCAAGTTTAAGGCATACAGCATGATGCTTCAACTTACATATATTGTGAAATGATTACTTTAATAGGTTCAGCTAGCATCCATCTTTTCATACAGATACAATAAAAAGGAAAGAAAAGAGGAAAAAAATTCTTTTTGTGATGAGAACTCTGAGGATTTACTCTCTTAACAACTTTCCTATGTATAATAGAGCAGCGTTAACTATAGCGTCACGTGGTACATTACATCCCTAGTACTTACTTATCTTATAACTAGAGGTTTGCATATTTGGGCCACCTTCCTCCATTCCCCCATCCCCCATCCTCTGTTTCTGGTAATCACAAGTCCGATCTCTTTTTCTATGAGTTTGATTTTGTTTCTAGATTCCACATATAAGTGAGATCATACAGTATTTGTCTTCTTCTGTCTGATTTATCTCACTTAGCATAGCGCCTTCAAGGTCCCTCCATACTGTCACAAATGGTAGGATTTCCTCATTTGTTAATGGCTGAATAATATTCCACAACGGCTTTATCCATTCGTCCATTAATGAACACTTAGGCTGTTTCCATGTCTTGGATACTGTAAATAGTGCTGCCATGAACATGGGGGTACAGATATCTTTTCAAGTCAGTGTTTTCATTTCCTTTGGATATATTCCCAGAAGTGGTCGCTCTCTTCTTTTAATACCTCATCATTTATTGGCATGCTTTCAAACTTGCCACACAGAAGTCTTCTTCCCATCCCCACCATAACCTCTTACTCTCCTTCCATTCCAGAGCTAGTCTTTAAGCTCACTAAGGCCAGTTAACACGGCTTAACATAAAGCCACAGGGTCTCTGCCGTGCTTGAATTTCCTTCACAGTGCCGGTTAACACAGCAGATAGGCACAGATTCTTGTCGAATAATGTGTCTCATTTGCTACTGTTCCTATAAGGGACATCTTATCTTTACCTGTCTAATGACTCTCCCCTCCCTGGGCCTGGGAAAAGTTTGCATAGAACATGAATTGATCAGAGGACACCAGAGGCTCCCCAGAGAGGCCCCAGCCTAGCAAGAAGAGATGAGTTCAGGTACCTGAGGAAGTTTAGGACAGCTGGTGAGGGAAAGGGACTGAAACGTGGCCAGAGAAGGAGGAATTACAGACCATTTACAGCATAGAGGACTTTATCCCCCAAGTATGAAGCTAAATCTCTAGGGCTGCTTTGGTGGGTTATAAAAAGGGGTGTGACCCTTTTTCTTGCATCATATCCAAGGACTCCTCAAAGATCCCTCAGCAACAGGAACCTCCCTAGCTGCTTCTGTTCCTTCTGCAAGCCCTGGTTTTCAAAATTCTACAAGAAGTCCCTCATAGTTGGGACCTCTTTTGTGCTCTTGGACAAAGTCTCTTTAAGACAGCTCACGGCTGGCTTTCTCTCCCTACGTTTGGTCTGAGGAAATACACAGATGTCCTTTGCCTGTACATACTCTAGGGCTGGCATCTTCTCACCAGCCTTATCTCCTTGCCCCCATGGACACATTCTGCAAGCTACAGTTCTTTGCCTTGAAAGATCTCAAGTCTGGGTCAGAGACCACTTCCTCAGGTTCTCGCAAACTGCAGCAGACAGATGTTAAATGCCCAGGCCAGAGGTCCTCTCAAAGCTCTTTTCATGAGGCTTGAGGTGAGGAATAACATTTCTTGGGTGAAAGACAGAGACACAATCATATTTGCCAAGCGGATTTCAGAAAATGAGAGTAGAGAATGGCTAGGAGCAGAAGCAGGGTGTTGACCCTTCAGAAGCAATGGTCCTATTATCCCTATTCTACAGATTAGCACTTGAGGCTCCGGAGGTGAAGTAACTGGCACAAGGCCATTGAGTTAGCAAGTGGCAAAGCCAGGATGAAACCTAGATCCCTCTGACTCTCCAACCTACGCCCATTATTGTCAGTGTGCTACATGTATTAATTATCATTTACATAACACCTATAAAAGTGAACCTCGGAAGACAGTTCTGGTATAAGAGAAGCAAAACTCCCGCCAGCTCACTCTGGCATATCGCATGCTTCCACTCAAGTGGAAAGAAACAATTCTCAGTGTAGTGCCTGTAGGTGAAGTAATTAAGTTGCTGGTTTTCCCCATGGGACTGATGCTTGTCCGGGTGTATGTATTACTGTGTTTTGTTAACAGATTGTCTAGAGGCAGTCTTGCCTATTTTCAGTTTTTCTTATATCCCCATTACATTTAAGTATATTTGTCCTGTGACTGCTTCTGAATCAAAAAAGAAAAAATCCCCCCTTTCTTTCAGCCTCTTAAAAAAAAAAAAGGAAAAGTGAGAATGACTTGAGAAGGAATAAGAATATAGAAAAGAAAAATGGAGGATTCATTTGGGGACATTCCAACCAAATGGAGTTTTTAATATAGTCTTTAGGCTCCTTAGAGAAATATAAATAATGCAGACATTAAGATTTCCTAAAGGAGCATTGACAATAGAATTATATTGCTAGCTAAATGCGTACTTTTACATTTTCTAGTAGCCACGTTAAAAAAAAGAAATAGATGAAATTAATTTTAGTAATACTTTTGTTTAACCCAATATAACCAAAATATTGCATTTCAACATGTGGCCAATCTCTTTAAATGTATTAATGAGATATTTTACACTCTTTATTTTTTCTACTAAGTCAGAAATCTGGTGTCCAATTCATACTTACAGCACATCTCATTTCAGATCAGCCATGTTTTATGTGTTCAGCCGCCACATATGGCTAGCGACTACCATATTGGTCAGCCCAGCTCTAAAGGGATGTTTCAGTCCTAGTGAACCTGTAACATGTGGGATCTTAATAAAATCACTGAGGAAGCAGGGGAGTTTCCAA